CGCCTTGCGCGACAGGGCGGAGTCGCCGCCGAGCTTGGCGGACGCGGCGCGGTCGCTGACGGCGCGCGCGTACGTGACGCTCAGGACGCGCCCCAGGAACTCGGTGGCGTGCGTCTTGCGCAGCGCCTGCGTCGCGGACGACTGCTGCTCGAACGTGATGAAGGCCTGCCCCCGCAGCTTGAGCGTCTTCTCGGCCACGATCCACACGACGTGCCCGTGCGGCGTGAAGGCCGCGTGCAGAAGGCGCCGCAGCTTGGCCTTCGCGAGCTTGTCCGGGAGGTTGCGCACATAGAGCGTGCGGCACGGCGGGTTCGCGTCCATCGGAGGGCTGGGGCTTGGGGGCGCGAGACGGACGACAGAGCAGACGGGGTGGGTGGGTGCGGATCAATTCATGGCGATTTGCGTGTGCTGGCGAAAGGGAGGGGGGGCCTCGGACATTATTTTAAAAATCGATCGTACAAAAACTAAAATATTTATGAAATTTGCGATGACGAAGGATCATTGTTAACAATTGAATGAATGAGATCAATGATAACATTACAAATGTTGGAGTAGAGGGAGGCTCCATCTGTACAGGATGAAGCCGCATCTACCCTTGAATGGTCGACTTTATTGACAGAGACTATATATATATACAGTACTGTATATATATTACAGAGACCCTGAGAGAGTATCTACCCTTCGAAGGGTATCGTGTTTATTTTCGCCGAGGCCGATCTATCCCGCTTGGCAGAAGAGGATTAACAGTAGCAAGCCGTTACGCTTTGTCGATATATTTTTAGACAGTCCGCACTGGCATAGTGCCAGTTATGCAGTGCACTCTAGACTAGAATGCTACGGTATATCCTGATTGGCAACGCGCTCCGTATGCGCTGAGTTTACCGTAGGCTGAGTTTACCGTAAGCATCGGGGCGTTCTCTAACTTTGGTTAGCACGTTCTAGAGCACTACCATGAGCATAGAAGGGGGCATCTCTGCAGCAAAAGCAGAGAGTCGCTCACCCACAACATAAAAACAAAAAGCCTTAGTCTTGTTTTGAAAGCAAACCCTTTCCTCCGCGCTTACCAGCAGATCAACGGTTTGCAATTTGAAGCCGTAGGTCTGGACAAATGTGTATTGAAAAACTGCGGAGGAGGCAAGGGATTTCCCTTCTTGTCTTCCGTGCACCGTGCTTGCTGGGAGAACTGGCTGCATAAGTTGTCCTTATGCGCTGATATGTACAGCGCGATGGTGGTTGCGTCGAAACACGCTAAAGTGCGTCGAATGTGTCAGAGTGTGAAGAAAGGGGATAGTCCAACAACTCTAAGAAATCGTCCTACAGCAATGTGTTTTTCAATGCTACGCGATTATCGTGCAAGGCGGGGTTAACACCGAGAGTGGGGATGAGAATGCCCAGGGCAGAGAGGTTTACCTTAATCGTACGATGTCATCAATTGCAAAATTTGTGTATACTGTACCCTTGGGTACCATTTCCTGCTCTGCTGACAAACACAGCGGTTGGAGGTAGGCAAGCTTTCTTCTCTATAATCCTGAACGCCTGTTGAGCCTGTTGACGTAAACAGCCTTTCAAGGCGATCGAAATCCCCAATATTTGTGGTAAAGGTTCAATTGACGTCAGGTACAACTTGCATTGTTCCTGTGAAATAGATTGGAGATTGGACGTAGTTAAGAAGCAGTGGCCAAGCGAGAAATACTAAAATGTAGTGATCAAGGTTTCGATCCCCGGGGTTTTGATCACCCCGCTCTCTTCAGTCCTTCGATGCAAAAGCAGCGCGTCGCGCCAAGTTTTCTGAACACTTGAGAGGATTACGCCGCTTTTGTGTGAGAGACTCATCTTGACGAGTCTTGACGATGAGGACGGATTATATTTTATTTCGTTTAAACTTTTGAATACTCATCGCTCAATCGCAGCGCAAACAAAATGGGACAACGGTAGGGCCCCACGTACAAAGAAAGCACCATGCACCTGTAAAAAATCCCGCAAACCTCTACACCGCAAAGTAAGACCTATTGCTTTCTCCACCCACTAGCACCCCCAGCTAGTGCGAATTCAGCTCAACGACGACTGACAACGCAACGTGGACAAAACCAGGCCTCCGCCACCTTCAGCGAACCGGTCACTTCAAACCCATCCATCCGTCCGCACATGTCCCGGGACGCCTGCGTGACATGCAAGTCGGGCGACTTCCTCACGCACCACGCAGCGCCTGACACCCGCGTCACTGCGCGCCGCCGCCGCCGCGGATGGCCGAACGGTTCCTGCAAGCCGTCCGCGAGGGGCTAGAAGAACGAGACCAGCGCAAAGGTCGCGACGCCGCGCGCGGGCCGCCCCAGGTCGAAACCGCCCGCACGCCCGCGCCCATCGCGCGTCAGCCCGGAGCGACCCGCGCGCCTTCTTCCGCCCCGCCGATCCCCGCCCGTGCGACCGAGGCTGCGCGCGCGTCCGCGTCCGCGTCCGCGTGCGAGCCGCGGATGGACGAGGCGCCGCAGAGCCCGCGCATGCTTCGTGCACCACCAATGGACACCGCGCCTCCGTGCGCCTCTCGAGCACCGGCCGAGAGCACAGCCCAAGCGCGCGCGCAGGGCCGCTGCGTTTCGATTGTGCTCGACGACGACGACGACGACGACGACGAATGCATCGACCTCATCGACTCGGACGGCGACGACAAATGCATCGACCTCATCGACTCGGGCGGCGACATCTCGCCAATGCAAAAGGAAAATGTGCTGCCGAGACACCTCGATCTGACGTGCCCGGCCGCGAGGCGCATTTCATTTCAGAGAGTGCCGCGGCTCTTTTGCGACGACGATGACGACATGGAGATCGACGCCGGCACGTTGAACCGTGGTGCATCGCAACGTGGCTTTGCCTTGGCGGAAGGTCAACCGCGTCAACCGCCAGCCGAAGCCGGCCGACTCGAACCGGCGTCGGAGGCCACGTCTGCAGATGGCACTGAGAGAAGCGCCGCGCCGAAACGCGAGTATGATCCGCACACAAATGTAAAACCATCAAAGCGCCAGCGGACTGGGAAAGCCGCCATTGAGAAGCGGGGGGTACCCACGCGCGGGCACCCGTCGAGAGCAGTTCTACAGCGGCTAAATCGATCCAGCCGGCACCGCTTGTTCCTTGTGGACAAGAAAGACGACGGGGAGCAAGTGAAATGCGCCGTTATGGGCTCCAACGGCAATATCTACAGGTGCGAAATCAGCCTCTACCCATCGTGCGAGTGCCAGGACTTCCAGAAACGAAAGGGCACCAAGGCGGAAGGGCCGTGCAAGCACCTTATCTTCCTGCTCATCCGCGTGCTCAAGGTGCCCAAAGAAGACCGCAAATGGTGGCAGGTCCGCCTGCTGCCGTCGGAACTGCAGGAAATCAGGGAGAACGCGCCCAGGGTCATCGCGCCCGGAGCCGGCGTCATAGCTCAAGAGGCTGTGCTCGTGCAGTATCAACAAGCCTCGCAGGGGAGCAAGAAAAGTGCGCGGCGTCGTCTCGAAGGGGAATGCATGATTTGCTTCGAGAGCTTTGTCCTGGAGAGCGGCCCGAAGTCAGCCGGAAACGCGACGACTTTCTGTGGCAAGTGCGGAAACAACTTCCATTCCATGTGCATACGCAACTGGCACCGGGCTCAGGACCAGCCGACATGCCCCCTCTGCCGGCAGATGATGGACGTACAAGGCGTCGGCGAAAAAGACGGCGTGCTAAACTTGGCGCAGTACTCGACCGCACACGACCAACAGCTGACGCTGGCCGAGATGTACGCGAGCACGCATCAATACATAGGGCGCGGGAACTTTCGGGGGCGGGGGCGGGGGCGGGGCCGTGGCCGTGGCCGGGGGCGGGGACGCGGGCGCGGGCAAGGAGGACGCAGGGGACACGCAGAAGACCTATCGTCAGGCTGAGCGCCCGAGTGGAAGCCGGCAGGGATCGTTGGGCACCAGTGCTTTTATCAGACGAGTTATTCCCCCTTCTTCTTCCTGTACTCGTTAAGCTTATCCAGCTCCTGCAACTTGTCGTCCTGCTTCTCCTTCTGCCTGGCGCCGACCAAGCCGTCTTTGGCCCTGATAAAGTTGACCTTGGCCTCCTCGAACCCGAGGGTAGAGCCCTCGACGTCCTCGTCCCAGCTGCTCGAAAAGATGCCGTACGTGATGCCGAGCGTAGACAGGGCGACCGTGCCGAGCGTGCTGTACGCGACGACGACGGGAATGACGGTGATGTCGTACTTGTACTTGAGGACGAAGTACACGGCGAAGAAGGTGAACAGCAGGCCGAGCGGCACGGCGCCGAAGGTCAGGATGCGGCGCAGCATGCGGTTGGCGACGATTTCGGGCAGCACACCCGCGTCCGGGTTGCGCTCCGGCTCGAGCAGGCCGCGCCGCTCGTACTCCTGGCGCAGCGTGGGGCCCTTCGGCACGTAGTCTGGGTCGATTGGCGGCGCCTCGCCGTCGAAGGAGGGCCGGTTCGGACGCGGGGCTGGCGGTGGCGTCGGCTTCTCGCCAAAGCCCTTGCCCGACATGGCTGGGGCCGGCGAGGCATGTCGCGGGCGGCGCGGGCGGCGCGCCGTTAGCGATGGCCGAGAGGGGAAGGGCGAGGTCGGGAAGGAGGCGATGAAGGTTGGGCTTGGCATTGTGGGATGGTTCGGGTGGGGCGGGGCCGATAATGGGGCGCGGGGGAGGCGAGAGTGGTGCTCGGCAGGTGAAGGATTGATCTCATTTCGGAATAAATATGCAACGTGGGACTGCTGTCCTTCGGCGCATCAGAGCGATAACAAAAAGGGTCGGCGCGCTGTCCTTCGGCGCATCAGAGCGATAACAAAAAGGGTCGGCGCAGCAATGCGCGCCGCTTCGTTTACGGCATCGTCAGCAAGCAGCATGGCTACCGTAGTTGCGCCCGGTCGTCAAGAAAGACTATTTATCGCTCCCAGCACTCCTCCTGCGCAGCAGATCCCGTCTACGCCCCTTTCACGTCCTCCAGCGCCTCCTCGAACCTCGTGACGACCTCGTCCACCTGCGCCTCGGTAATAACCAGCGGCGGCACAAACCTAACGACATCCTTCCCCGCCGGCACGAGCAGCACGCCCCTATCCATCGCGGCCTTCACGACATCCCCCGCGGTCACGCCCTTCACCTCGACCCCGAGAATCAAGCCGGTGCCCCTCACCTCGCTAACCAGCTCTGCATGCCTCTCCCTGACGCCCTCCAGTCTCTCGGCCAGCTGCTCCCCCCTCTCCCGCGCGTTGCGCAGCACGCCGCCCTCCAGCAGCTCGTGTCCGATAGCCAGCCCTGCCGCGGACGCGAGCGGGTTCCCGCCGAACGTGCTCGCGTGGTCGCCGGGCGCGAACACGTCGCAGCCCTTCTTGCAGAGCATGGCGCCAATCGGCACGCCACCTCCCAGCCCCTTCGCGGTGGTGAAGACGTCGGGCTCGACGCCCACGTGCTCGAACCCCCACAGCTTGCCTGTGCGTCCGGCGCCGACCTGCACTTCGTCGCACATGAGCAGCGCGTCGGCCTCGTCGCACACCTCCCTCGCCGCGGCGAAGAACTCTTTCGTGCCCGGATGGATGCCGCCCTCGCCCTGCAGGGCCTCGAGCAGAATGGCGGCGAGGTTCGGCCCCGCCTGCTTCGCCTTCTCACGCAGGTCCGCCGCGTCGTTGTACGTGACGTAGTCGAAGCCCGGCACCAGCGGCCACCAGTTGGCGTGGTACTTGTCCTGGCCGGTGGCCGTGAGTGTGGCAATGGTGCGGCCGTGGAAGCTCTGCTTAGCGGTGAGGATGACGGGGGTGCCGTGGCTCTCCGCGGTCGAGCCGCGCTTGAGGTGCCAGCGCTTGCGGGCGAGCTTGATGGCGGCCTCGTTGGCCTCGCCGCCGGAGTTGCAGAAGAAGACCTTGTCCATGGGGGAGTGCTGCACGAGCCACTCGGCGAGGCGGCCTTGCTCGGGGATGTAGTACAAGTTGGACACATGCGTGAGGCGGCTGATCTGCTCCGTGACGGCGGCGATGATGGCCGGGTGCGCGTGGCCCAGCGTGCACGTGGCGATGCCGGCCACGCAGTCCAGGAACGGGCGGCCGTCCACGGAGAACAGCTCCGCGCCGCGGCCGTGCGAGAGCGCGAGGGCGTACCGCGTGTACGTGTTCATCACGACCGAGTCCAAGGCCCGCGGAGAGCCACTAGCCGGGCGGCGGCTTG